AAAACAGTATCACGTGGCACGAATCCGTCCATCCTGTCATGGGAAACGCGCGGGAGATTCTCTCGCTCGGTGAAGCCTCGGTCGTCGCCGAATCTCTCGTACTACGCTGTCGTTCCATGGAAAAAGAAAATGAAAAAAGATTTGACGGATGTATACCGCGGTACCCGAAGGCGTCGCTCGACTAGATGATAAATCACAATCACACAAATATCGCGCAATTAATGCTAATCGATATTCGTTCCAAAACTTTTCTTAACTAATATTCGCGAGTCCAGTGTACTTTAAATTAATGTATCTTTGCTTAACGTAATTGAGTGATTTTTTTTTTATTTTAATAGTCAAAATCCGAAGAATAAATTTATGTTGACTTAAAATTGTATAAGGTTGTGAAAAACAATTTTGTTACAATTTTTCATAACACTAATTGAAAAAACTGTTCGGGTTCACTGAACCCGTCAGTATATTAAAATCAAGTTGCACAATCAGTTTCATATAGAGTGTTTAAAATGAATTAAAAAAAAATTCTAAAATTCGTTTTTCACAATATGTGGTTATCTGAAAATTAAAAGTTATCAAGAAATTCGTGAATGAATTTCATATATTGTGAAAACGTGCTTAAGAGTAATTCATTACACACACACACATACACACACACACACACACACACACACACACACACACACACACACACACACACACACACATACACATATTATATATATAGAGCGAATTCAATTGATGCACTCATTGTCAGTACACGCTGATACAAATTATAGTCGTCGTACACAAATTGACGTAAAACTATGTGTTTAATATAAAAACGGATTAAACCATGAAATTCTGAACACATTTTATTGCACTGTTAAGTAAAATTTATATTTTATAATTCGAAATATTTACATTTTACTTTCACACAGATTAAATGTACAACGACTTTAATATGCACCAACGCCTGTTTAACCGAATTCGCTAATGGAAATGATATTTTGCGTTAAAATTCTACATACGCTAGAAGACTTCGAATGAATGAAAATACATGTGGAACGCTTTCTAGGAAACATTGCTTCGGAAGAGGACACATTTCCTTTCGTCATTGCTTCGCCAGTTTCCCGATGCGACATGAGAAGAGAACAAGCCGTCGGATTCGCTTCGCTCGGATTTCCACTTTCCACCGATGCGACTTGGATCGGGAAGAACAGCCGCGATGTCGCAGTGAAATTGCATAAAATTGCGATGCGAAATGACACACTGATACAATTTGTGCGAGGCCGCGACGATGGCCGAGAGAAGGCATCATCATCCAAATATAAACGAGTAAACGGATCAGTCTGCCGACCGTCTGGTTATTTATCCCGCTTTTCCGAGATTATCCCAAGAATCCCTTGGCTGACCATTCGACTCGTCCCCGCAGGGCCGCATGAATGTAAAGGCCTTGATACGAGATGATTAATCCACTACTAGTCTTAGAGAAGAGATGCAGGCTGCATTTTATCAAGAAGGTTGAAGAGACTTGAGATACGCGTGTTTAATAACGCATTAAATAATATCTATAAGCCATTCTTTTGTTTTATATCTTTAATATTCATATCGAAATAGATAATTAAAATAGATATAATTAAAAATGAATACTATTTTCTAGATAAAATCAGAGACATTAAACATAGGGAGAAATTCACAATTGTCAAGGCGATGATTAACGAGGATGGATGGAAGCCAAAATATCAGGAATTAATGCGCAGCTATAAGAAGAGAAGAGTAGAGAGAACCTATAGTATATTTAATAATCTTTATAGTATAAATGTTTAAATATTAATTTAGTAAATATTTATTTACACAAATTAAAGTCATGCTTCGATATTTCGCATCGATAAAGATGAATTTATAAAAGAATAGAGAATAGTTAAATATTTGAAAAAAAAACTATAACATTTAAGTACACTATAAATTATAATATGTTTAAGCGCTAACTGGCGCTAACTCAATAGATATTCGATCGAAATTCGATCGGGAAAACAACTTTTTAAACAACACTAAAAGATAATTGATTAACACGTGATCGTATGGAAGTAGATGCGATAAATATGAGATCAATTGAATCGTCTAGTACCAAATCATGACTAATGACAAGATCGCCAACAATTCCATTTATGCAAGGGCCACGTTATACTTCGCGTCGGTGAAGGTAAATCTATAAAGAAAGAGAATAGTTTATTATATTTGAGAAATTATAATATATTTATTAATCTATAGTATAAATAATTTTTAAGTGCTAATTCGGATATCGAAAGCAGATATCGAAATTCGATCGAAGAAACAATTGAAAAATAATTCATTAATACGTGATCGTACATAAGTGGACGCAATAATACGTTCGATTGGAATTAGATCTGGCGCTAAAACGTGACTAACAGCATGATCGACAGAGATTCCATTTACACAAGGACCACGTTGTACTTCGCGCCGGTAAAGGTAAGTTTATAAATACTCCGGGATTCAAAATAGACATTGGACAGTTCGTGTACGTCGCAAACCGCATGGAAACGTCCGGAACTCGACAGAAATTCAAATATCTCTAAGCACATTATCTTCGGTGATTTAAGACACGATGATTTAAGCTACGCTCAGAGTCAATTTCTCGTCGTATTTATCTCCACCGGAAATTATTTTCGCTCGTTATACAATGGATATAAATTTATCGCGCTCAAGCGTGCGAATACGGAAGAATAATCGTATTGAAAAGTACATATTTAAGCTTCTTTTTATTGCATCAATTCTTTGCGTATGTCATTATATATCATGAGCCGTCAAGTGAAATTCTTTTTGAAACAAAAGCAAATTTTACGAATATAATCTGGCAAGCTTAAAAATTTGATTTCTTTCGAGGCCGAAGAATCTTTTCTTAATCATTTTTCCTACGCTAATTTTTTTAATCTTTCACAATTATGTATTTTTTAAAGACTTTAACATTAAACTCTGCTCGCTATTAAAGTGAGTAAATGATTTTAATAAACGTTATACGATACACTGAAAAAAAATCGAAAATTTGCAAGCAAATGTTTTTTCGATATTTTTTTTTTATTATAATAACGTTTGACTGTGATGGCTAAATACACATTTTCATAAAATATATCTCGTTAATATTATAAAAAATAAAATAGATAGTTTATTTGCTAGAAATAACATTTTATTTTGTATTAAATAATGGTTTATTTTATAATGAATATCTTACAAATATTTTTCTCTCAGTGTAAATACAAGTCTTGCCGTGTCTGCCGTTTTTCAAAGACAAGAATTTTTTACAATAACTTAAATAATTATTTTTATTCATTATGATTGTTTCTTAATCCAATTTCAGATTTATTACAATATGTAATAATAAAACTTAATAATCAGAATAATTTAAAATTTTATAATCAAAGATGCTTGGTTAAAGATAAGGAGAGTATTATAATGAGAATAATCTAGCAAATTGGCAAGTTTTATGTCGTGATGCCTTCGAAAACCGAAAAATTCTTTTACGATAATTTACAGAGAAATAATCCCATTTGTATTTATTTTTATTGCCTCTCATAAATAAAAAATTCTATATAATATATTATAATGTTGGACATACCGTTAAACCTTTTTCTCCGAGTAAAGGACACGGGAGGATTCTAATAAAAGTCATCTAGCAGATATAAGTTTTGCGTCGCGGCCACTTTCAAAGCCAAGAATTCTTTATAGCAACTAGTCACACACACTCCCATTCCAGATACCTCTCCGGTCCCGGATATACGTTTCCAGCTGTAACTAGGACCGCTCTCAGCGGTATAAATCAAAAACGGACCACGTTTGTGCCACTTTTCGTTCATGAGGCGGCGCACTTTGACGAAGATTATAGTCGACCACATGTGCTGATGTGTAAAGGCACGTAAAGATCACTGAAATGTGAACAAAGGCGCGATGACGTTTTCATTAAAATCGTTAGTTTGACGAGTATCCTTGAAAATATAAAGACAAAGGTATCACCTTCAAGATGTTGATCTTCTTTTAAAGATATTATCACTTTTAAAATGATTTCTTCATAAAAATCCAAGCTTTGATTATAAAGCTTGTAATTATACTAATTTTTATTTTATCGTTAAATTATTGCTAATGACTAATTTTTATTTTTTTAATATAATATTTAATTAAAAAATGAAATAGAAGATAAAGTCTTCAACTGTTTATCTCTCCTTTAGTTTTTTTAAATTTATATCATGGTAAAGTGTTCTCTCCAATAACTTAATTAATATTTTAATACACATTTTTATTTAATTAAAAAATTGAAAATAAAAGTTCTATAAACGTTTATCTTCTTCGTTAATTTCTTCATTTATTTCATAATTAAAAATATATTCCGCAATAACTAATTCCCTTCTTTTAATACAATATCTAGTTAATTAATAATGTTGCAGATAAAAAGTTCTTTTACTATATATCTTATTCATTAAAATATAGATGCTTACAATAACATTTCTAATTTTGTAATGTAATTAAATTAGGAAGCCAAATCAAGATAATGAAAGAAGGTTTTTCAACTATTTATTTCCTTAGAATTAAATATTTCTCAAATATTTTTAAATAGATACTGCACATGCATTACCGCATAATATTATAGATTATAACAGTAGTCATAAAAAAATATCAATTTCTCCCTTTTATATTCTACAATTTTCATAATTCAATTTTCAATGTAATAAATGTAATACATTTGTTTTTGCTGATATATGTATATTTATTTGAAACGATATTCCTCGTTTATTCTCGTTATTGAATATTATTTTTTTTTTCATTTTTCCCATTTTATCATTCTTTTTAATCGATTGTTTTTATTTCAACTAAAAAGGTACGACTATGAATTTTTTTCAAATATTATCTCCAGTGGTAATGTCGTTAATGGCGATCTCTCACTGATCGACTGTCAATAAATGCATCTTCCGAGCGGATCAATAATAGGTATACTTATTGTTAGCATCGTTCATCGTAACGTGTATCACATGTTCGCACGCACGGGAACTCTTGTCTTGTTCGCATTGTTGCATCAAAGGTATAGTCAACGCGATATTGCAAACGCTTTGAAGCGTTTTTTAATTGGTCAATTTGTGAAATTTTTTTTTCTAATTGATCCATCAAACACTTTAAAGCATTTGCAGCGAGACTTTGATCACAGCCCAAGTCAAATTGCATCAGAAATAGCAGGAACGTAGAAGCGGCAGTGAATGACAGCTGTAGAGCGTCATGCTGAGTTTCCTTGTTAAACAGCGAGGTTTTCGCGTTGTAATTAGTAATCAGCAGATCGCATGATGGCCTCCGCCGGTGAGTATGGTATACATTGATAACACGTTATCGCGACAACGTGATTTGATGTTATGACGCTGATATGATGAACAATAGCGAATTAGTATTAATTATTATGGAACATTAGTGGTAGGATGTAGGATGCAGAATCGTATAACAACGAACGCTGTCATTACATCATGTACTCATTTTGTCATTCAATAATTAAGCCAGGCGTGCCGGTATCAGTGACGTGACTAGCTAAGCATGCATTCAGCTCATTCAAGACAATAATGGGTGCTTTTCTATTTAATGACCAAAGTTGACAACATTTTATCTTTTTTGAAATCAATGAGCAGCAAAGATAGAACGACACTTGTGTCGACTTGTATCACCGAATACAAAGCATGCAATGCCAATGCATTTATGGTTTTGAGAACAGTTGTTAACGCACGTGAAGGATATTTTATTTATCGAAAAATTTTTTTAACGTAATTGGCTACAAGATAAAGAATTTGTTACTGGAGAACTTTTCTATTCTGTAACAGTACAGAAATTTTTGTACGCTAATTATTTACGCGCAGTTTTCAATGTAACTAATCAACATATTGAAAAATGTGTGTGTAAATAATTAACGTACAAAAATTTGTGAAATTTATACTTCCATCTAATATCCTTGCGATCCTAAATCTATTATTCGTCGTTTTTTATTGTTCGTCCAATTCGCATCATAGATTCGGAACTATCGATCCTCTCTCCTGTGGTTTATTGTGTTTCAGTTGGTAGCATCTCTGGATAATGTTCCAGCATTCGAGGAATCAGAAGCTACGAATGTTTCGACTCGTTCGATTGATTGATTCATCATCTGGCAATCGACATCGCTCTGTTGGAACGCGAAGTTGGAAGTTTAGCGAAAATCGAGAAATATTACTAACCGAAAATATTCTCTGCTTTTACTAATATTATGTACGCGTGTTTGGTTATGCGCGTGTGTATTCTATTCTATTCTATTTGGTTTGGTTGATTTAGCTGCACCTTCTTCGCGATAAAAGGTGTACATTTGTGCTTCTTTATCATGAGGGAAGAGGAAGAAAGTGCAGATTGTACAGATGATCAGATGACGGGCTTATCTGTTCGAGATGGCGCTCGTGTTTTGTTTTGGCGGGAAAGTTGCGCGGTAGTTTCTGGTTCATTATCTGTATTCGTCTTCATCGGTGTCATTCCCGCCTTGTCGAGCTGAAAGATCAAGAATCATTATTTTCGAAACTGCATTTTCGTCAAGAGCCACTGCAATCGCACACTGTATCGGGTTACGTGAACGTTATTTGACACGTTGAATTAGGAATCAGCTGATTGCGAATCATAAACGAATAAATATCTCGTGCAATAATCTTTTGGTGAGTGACAAAATGTTCTAAATGTGACTGAGAAGTGAAATGGAGTTTAATTGTCTGTTTAATTGATAAAAATATTTATATTTCAATAAGTTCTTAATGTGTGGTTTTGCGCACAATGAATTAAGTAGAAATAAATATTAAATATTAATTTAACTAAATTAAAAATTAAGATGTACAAGAGAAAGTTTTTGATAAGATTACATATATTACATATTTTCTAATTGATAAGATAATCGATATTTAGAGACATATATTGTGGACCTTTCATTGTGTTGATTTGTTTAAGATATATTATGTTTCACATTTATACTGTTGATAAGTTAATTGTAGAAAGTAATATTATCTTATTATAATATAGGATTAAAGTATATTGTAATATAGGATCTACAGGATAGAAGTTGTAGCGGTGAGAATATAATTTTAAATCGTAGAAGATTAATCAATCATTTCAATACCAATTTTCAGAGAGATTTTTATATCAAATAAACGCGCATATAACAATAATGCAAAAAAAATCAAATTAATATCTTAGAACTATGAACTATATATATTTTATATAAAATATGCTTATATTAATAATTACACATAAACGTAATTAATGTAGATATATTAATACGATACACGATAATATTAATATTATATTATTATATATATCTATATTAATAACGAAGAATAAAAATTAAATTAAACATTACAAAAATGCATTGCAGGAATTAATGTACAGCGAACCATCTCGCTATGCGTGCTTTCTTGTTTCAATCTTACAATTGACTATGCTCCAATTGCACACTTGTAAAACATTCTCGCCTTACAAAATCATGGAGAGGTCTGTCTATAGTGCAATGTGCTTCGTTGAAAACTTAAAATGCAATAATATACTACGTGACGTTGAAGTTACAATATTAGAAAATTGGTATGACTGGTGTTTGAAAAATGCCAATATAGAAACTGACTTGATAGGTACATATGATGTATGGATTTTATGAGAAATTATAATTGAAGAAACATCTATTGTATATATTTATTTAATTTATTTCTATTTTTTGCTAAATAGTATATTTGAGGACAACACCTGAGATCGTATACGAAAGAATGAAACAACGAGGTCGAAAAGAAGAGAACGCCATCTCGTTAGAGTATCTGAAGCAAATCCATCAGGTCCATGATGACTGGCTCTATCATCAAATTTTAAAGCCATTGCCATCGCCGGTTATAACTATAAATGGTGATCGAGAGCTACATGAAATGGTGGAGGAATTTGATAAATGTAAAAATGAAATCTTCAGCAAGGTAATAGACGAAAGCGATGTAAATAATACGATGATTACGGTATCGACAAATCGCGTGTTACCCAAAATTAAAGCTGTTTCAGATTAAATCGTAAAGTAAAAGTAATAATTAATTTAAATATGATTGAAATAAACATGCATTTAAATTGATTAATTATTACAACTTTGTACATTGCACTATTTTCATTTCACTGGTCGCATTTATTACTTTTATTGCATATATTTATTTCTCTTTTCATCATATTTATAATATGTTAAAGAAAATACGTAATTGACCAATTATTTTATATTAAGGGATTAATTTTACATTTTGCCAGTATTCAAATTACAAAATTAAGGTAATTTAATTTATTAACGATAAATTTATATCTGACTCAATATGTGTTTAATTGAATTGTCATTGATATTTATTCTGAATTATTATTAGTGAGAGAGATTTGTTGACATTTTAAATAAAAATTCCTTGTAACGTACTAGATACAATTAAATTCTATCATTGAGTACAAAATAATGTTAGTATCAAAGAATTAGAAAACAAAATATTTGTGAAGATATTGCGTGATAAATGATAAACTACTTACAAAAAAATTGTTAAAACACGAGAGTACTTTTATTAGAATATTTAATATATCAAAAATTTTTTATTCTTTTTTATTTAAAAGTGTTTTGTAAGACGTTTGGATGAAAGGAAAGAATTACAAAAATGTATAGAATATATATTAATTTATCTAATAAAATCTAAGAAATTAAAAATATAAGAATAGGAGAAAGAAAGAAAGTTATTATAGGACGTTGTATCTACATGCATACACTTCAATTTATGTAATGCCTGATTTTATTGTGTAACATCAAAGGCGTATTTATATGGACTTTGTACAATGACTAAAAGAAATACATATTGTTTGGAGAATTGCATGTTCATTTCTACTAGATTTTATAAAATTAGGATAAGTATAAAAAAATGTATGTATGTATACACACACACGCGTGCGCGCATTGGAATATTACACATGTATATTGCGCAAAGCGACAAGTTCGTTCGTGATGCATTATTAACCAGATCATGTTCCTACTTGAAACGCAGGCTCAATGCGATTCCATAATGCCATATCGAAGACTGAATACGAATTAGTCTAGAACAATGTTTTGTCAATCTGATATTTAGATGAATGTATGATGTGTCGATCTTTGCAATCAGAATGATGCATCTATAAATTACGTGCTAAAATATGTATAAAAACAGTGAAATGATATTTCGAGTAAAAAAAAATAATCACAATCGTTTACGTACAAAGTAAGTACAAGTGTATGTACAAGCTTTAGGTAGAGATTTTTATTTGCCGCGCCCAACTAAGACGGATTCTTGCGAGCTACAACTAATCGCTCGACGCAATCGTACTCCTGGCAAGACCATAGTATGCTAACTAACGTGCCGAGTTGAGCATCCCGTGTGTTGGCTTGCTTCCAATCAAGCAATAACTGATAGATTACCTGAAATCACATATGGATTAAAATTAACATAAATTGTTATTAATATACATTTACAAGAAATTTGTGAATTTTACATGAAACGTTTAATTACATGAATAATACTTAATGTTTTATTAATATTAGGTGTTGGAATTAATTCGTAGCGTTTTACAAGTGATGGGAAGTACTTTCATTAATGTATTTTTTAATGCTCATGTGAAATAAATAACATTCTTTCATTAAAAAACGCTACGAATTAATTCCAACACCTAATAGTAATCAGTCGTAAACGAATGAATTTTAAAATCTTGTTTATACAAGATTACAGTCTGATAAAAAAATTACTAAGATTGAATCATTCGCGATAGAATATCTGATTCTTAGAGTTTGATATTCACCTCGTCGATACCCTTGTGTCTATAATTCTCCTCGAATTGATCGATCTGTCCGTCCGAATACGAGAGTCTTCTCGCGACGTCCCGCCATCCGTGTCCAACGTGTGTTTTAAGAATGAACATGTCGTCGAACCCGAGCTCTTCTTCGCACGTGCTCAATTCTTCCACATTCTCGGGCATCGGCCGATGCTTCAGTTTCGAAGCCGTCTCGGACTGCGTCGCGTTATTATTCGCCGGGTACTGCTTCCCAC